GCCATCTTCTCATTGGGGTGCACCGTATAAAAAAAATATTAAAAATAAATTTTTGATAAAATATAATGATCAAAATACCTCTTGAAGCTTTCAAAGGTATTTTGATCATTTTATTTTATTGAAGTTATTTTTTTATATTTTTTGTTAATGCGAGTTTCATAGAGGATTAAACGTCCAAAATTTGGTGTTAAAATAGTTTATAGAAAAAATAATTAAAAATAAAATAGTATAGAAATGTGACATTGTGATTGGGGCAATCTTAGCCTTCCATTCAAAATGGACGGTTGCATAAAGAGAAATATATAAGTTTTATGCTGTAAGGGAAACATAGAAAGCTTGCCTTACTTTTAATATATAAATGGTACGTTTTCTATAGAGGGGAGGCTCTAAACAATCAAAATAAAAAACATCTTTAAAACTCTAAACTTTTAAAATATACTAAAAAAGTTTTCTAACTTTTTTTAGCCCTTCTAACCGCTCAAAACTAAATGGTTTGGCCAACTAAAAACCGGTTAAACATTGATTTTTGGTTGTTTTAAACCAAATCAGGATATTGGTTTAGATACGACCGGGGTAGTTCGATCTTGATAACTTATTTTCTTGTGGGTGATCACACATGGGGTTGATGGGCCCCTACCAGTTTATTGATAATTAAAAGAAAGATTTTACATTTACATTCATTTTAAACCTTAGATAAAGGAACACCAGTAACATCATCGACACGAAAAGGAGATATGAAATCTGAGGGCCGGGCACGTGACATTGTTGCTTCATTCATGCAAACCGCGTTTTTAGCCAAGTGATCAGCTGCCACGTTAGGTTTTATAAAATTCTGAAGTATCTACCATTGACGAGCTGTGAAGGATGTGAGCTTGGCTTTGATCTTGATCACTACTTTCAAAGAATTTAGCTATCAAGAAATTATGGAGATCTTTTGCTATTTATTCAACCCAAAATAATTAAGAGGCTAGTTCATGTATGTTTTTTTAGGTAAGGAAAAAGTTTATATCGAGCTGAGGCTCTAAACAATCAAATTTGAGTTTATATCAAAAATTTCACTAGAAGGCGTTGTTTTGATGCTCAAATATCTTCAAATTGATCATCTCGGCATCAAGATGCATAGACATGAGAAAAAAATGAATTTCAAGTTTTGAAAATAGTGTATTTTGTAACTCATTTTTTGACTCTCAATGTTCAAGATTTTTAAATTTTTATAGATCTATCAATCTATACTACTTTTTAAGTTTAAAACTTTATAAATAAAAATGGAAATATATTTTAAGGCTATCACAAAGATTTCCAGGATTAAAACTATATTTCTCGATACTATTTGAAGGTAGGCTCTAATTTGATTGTTTAGAGCCTAGGCTCTATACAAACTGCACCCTTTAAGTAATTACATAGTTTAGGGATCCGTATTTTTTAGGTATTACTGGGGTGGTGTCGCCATATCGATAGGAATGAAACCACCACAACGTGGTGATTAGGTGTGGGGGTGCTACCACTATGACCCTAGCTCCTTTCCTTCCTAATTCATATATGTTAGATTTCTAAAGTTCATGCACATTGAGAAAATTTTTGGCTCCTTTCCTTTCTAGTTCATATATGTTAGATTTCTAAAGTTTATGCTCATTGAGAAAAATTTGTCAAAAAACAAAAGAAAATTATGCCCATTGTGAAATTAAGGGGTCCCTCGGGCAATAGTATAAGGAAAAAGTTTAGGACGCGGTTAGCAAGTGGGCCAAGCCCACACAAGTAGAAATGCGGCGCCTCTTAAAAATATATTTTTCAGATAGATTTTTAGACTTAATTTTTAAAGGCATGATATCTCTAACATGGAGATGATGAATATGAAAAAACAAATAAAATTTTAAAATTAAAAATAATAATTCTATTAAAAAAACATTTGGACGGTTAGTTTGCCTACTTGCTTTCCCTTCTAGACCGCACGTGTAGAAATCTGGTCCAGTCCGCATGAAACAATTTTCCAACAGTTTATATAAATGTGATACTCTAGACAGACAAATTAGGGCGCACCTCAAAAATTTCACTAGAAGAGGTTGTTTTGATATCCAAATATCTTGAAATTGATCATCTCGACCTTAAGATGCATGGACATGAGAAGAACATAGATTTCAAGTTTTAGAAATAATGCATCATGTAATGCAATTTTTGGACAGTCAATTTTCAAGTTTTCATAGATACGCTTGATCTATATTATTTTTTAAACTTTAAATTTTATAATTAGATATAAAAATATATTTTAAAGTATAAAAAAAATTGTTAGTATCAAATGGAAAAAGTTTATATAGAGCCGATGCTCTAAACAATCAAATTTGAGCCTAAATATCCTCACTATAAGATATTGTTTTGATGCCCAAATTGATCATCTCGACATCAAGATGCATGGACATCAGAAAAAAAATGGATTCCAAGTTTTGAAAATAGTGTATTTTGTAATGCATTTTTGGACCGTCAATTTTCAAGATTTTCATAAATCAGTCGATCTACACTATTTTTGAAGCTTTAAACTTTATAAATAAAAATAAAAATATGTTTTAAGTATGTCAGAAATACTTCCAATATTAAAATCGCATTTCTCTACACTATTTGAAGTAGGTACTAATTCGATTGATTAGAGCGTGAGCCTTATACAAACCACACCCATGATATAAAAAATAATTATGAACAAAGCTAACTTCCTAAATAAAAGACTCTTTGTTTATTCCGGTCATGGTGGTAGATACAACGTGAACCTGACGTCCACCAACCTCTTTTTCTCTCTCTAACTAGAAACGCTCCTAAACTTTTCTCTCTAACTCCCCCTCGATAAAGAGAAGGACACTCCCACCTGTCTCTGCCGTAGTGTGGCGGGGGGCCATTTTCTGCCTCTCTCCAACTCTCTGTTACAGTGCATCTCAAACCCACACAAATACCACCACTTCCGAAAAGCTCCCCTTTTTCCAGCTTTGATCCACGCTCTAAACAAACCCATTGTGTTCGTTTCCGGATTCAGCTCAGGGAAAATGAACATTTCGTCGCCTGAAACTGAGGCCAAAAGAGCAAGAATCCATAACCAAAAAGAACCAGTGTGTGTCTTAGATGCTTCCACTTATGTTGGTTTTTGGATTCTCAAAGGCCTTTTACACAGAGGATACACTGTTCATGCTGCAATCCAAAACAATGGTAAATCCCATTCTTCTCTCTCTCTTCTTTGTGGTTTATTGTTTTTCTGTTTTTATTGCTTTTCTCTCTCTCTCTCTCTCTTTCTCTCTCGAAACGATGGAAAATGAAAGATGGTTTTTGGGATGGTTTCAGGGGAGAGCGAAATAACGAGGAAGATCAGAGAAATGGGGAGGTTGGAGGAGAGATTGGTGGTATTTGTTGCAGATGTTTTGGACTATCACAGTATTCTTGAGGCCCTGAAGGGTTGCTGTGGTTTATTTCACGCCGTCGATCATTCACATAATTCAGAAGGATATGATGTAAGGATATGAAGTCCTTGCCTTTTGGATTTTAGGGTGAGGGTTGTTTTCCTTTTGCAGAGGGAGAGAGAGAGAGAGAGAGAGAGAGAGAGAGAGAGAGAGAGAGAGAGAGAGAGAGAGAGAGAGAGAGAGAGAGAGAGAGAGAGAGAGAGAGAGAGAGTAGA